GAAGAAAGTAAAATGAATTTGAACTATGTTTCCCATCCCCAAAATGGGAGGGGAGGGCTAATTCCAGTTCAGTGGTGCGACCAGTGTGATAAAGTGGTTCAACTTTTGGTTCCTCTCCCGAGTGGCTTACTGCTTGGGGCAGAGTCGGTGATGCAGTTAAATCCTTAGAATGATAAATTTATAGGAAAAGTGTACGTTTTTACAATGTGGCTGAAAAGGGAAAAATACAACGGGTGGGTTAGCACAGGGCTTTAATACATTAACCTCCTCACTATGTGTATTGGAGAGGGAAGTGGAGGGGAAGAAGAGTGTGGCTTTCATTTCATTACCAATATAACAGTATAATGCTGATTTGAAGCTCTATGGCAGAACGAAATCCAGGGTAATCTCCCCGGTGGACAAAAGCATCCTCCCTCTCTGTACATGTCTCTTTTCCACCCTCCACCCTCTCTGTGTTTTTCTCCCCCTCATCACTCTCCCTCCCTTCCTCTCTAACCAGTTTCCCAATGTGCTCTCCCTTCCTCACTCCCTCCCTCCACTTTCTCTCCACCCCCGCAGTTGTACCGTTTGCTGCAGGAGCCGCTCAGCTGTCACAGATGCGAGCAGACATTATCCACTGGCATACATTTCGGCCCTCTACAAAGTAATGACTGCAGTGTAAGGATTACCTCTACGCACCCTCCGTACAGCAATCATGCTGGCTTGCAACAAGGGGTGGAGGGAAAGAAGAGGTGGAAGGGTTTTTATGACAGGAGAAAGGGATGACAGAATTAAACAGAGTGGTACGGAATGAGTCATCAGATACAGTCATCCATTCTGAGTGGTTAACGCTAATGCTAATGCTAATGCTAGTCAGCCTTTCAAAGCGATGACTGAGGAGGTGATAAAAAGCGGCTACATATAAGAATCTGTGCTTGTCGGTAGGCACGACTATCCTCATATCCACATAAGATGATGTCTGGCATTGATCTTCTAGCCTTGTAATGATTTTTTTGCGAAATAACCTGAGGTGCACGACGCAAGCGCTTCCACAAACATAAGCACAAGAGCTCCTACACAACAGAATTGCTTAAACGTCACTGCTGCGATCGTCAGTGGGAAATTTTTTAAATAAATATATATCTGTATATAAATGAAGGCTTTTTAACTGACATCCTTATTAATCTACTCGCATTTTTCTCGACTCTGCATTCATTAGTTTATTTCTGTTACTTCCACTCTAGTCCCGTGGAGCCAGACATGATCTTGTAATGGGAACCAAACAACAAGCCTGTTGTTAGCTAACGGATGTAACATAAGTTAGCATGGCAGCAAAGTCCCAATCAAAAAACTCAGATTAAGAATGAGTGTCGCATGTGCAGAGTAGGGACATGCACTGGTACTTGACTACTTGATTAACTGTGTTTAGTACCTGTATTAAACCTGAAATCACAATTTGGGTATTTGTTACACTTCATTGCCCCCAAACATGATTTCTTGTTCCTGTGAGACTACTTGCACCCCTCGCATGAAACAAGTGTGCTACAGCACTGTCACAATTGGCTTCAGCAGATTCATGAGATATGCAGCATTAATTACACATTCACTAATTTTACATACTGAATACAATATGTAAAGGTCAGAATGATTTACCTACATAGGATGTAACAATCACACATTCCGTACTGCTAGTAGGATGGAGGAGAAAAAAGACAAAGCTCTCAGCTCAAGGAGAGCATGCTACTGCAGAGTAAAAAAAAAGCACTGAATCAAGACTAACAAACAAAATCAGTGACTCAGAGTACAACATCTACAACTCCCATGAAAGGTCTTGAGCGCTAACCTCAATCAGACTCGGAATAAAAGAGAGGACAGGAGAGCAACAAAAGGAGTACATGAGACTTTTATGTAGGTCCACATGGTGACGTGTTCAAAGACGTGCTTTTCAGAGATAAAAATTTTGGCAAGAAATTTAATCTTAAAGTGCTGATGGGTTTTGCATACTCCAAAAAAAGGATCTTAAAGAAAACTTTAAGAGATTGTATGGTTTGAGATGCAACCAACTAACTTAGTTTTAAATAGTTTTACTTTCTCAATTGTCTCAGTGTCACTACTGTATTAACGAATATAAACTCTGATATGATGCCACAGGTTCACTCTTCCTGAAGTTTGAAATTAGCATAAAATATATAGTTAATGTATAATTCAGAAAAATGATATGTATTGAAATGCCTCCTGTGAAGGTGTTTTTCCTTACAGCTAAAAACCACAAAATGCTTTGCTTTTATAAAATGCAGCCCAAAGGCAACAATGTCCTTTTGGTTCACTGGCCCTCTATTTTTACCAAATACCTCTCATTCTAAAGCTGCACTATTACTACTTATAGTAAATATTCAAAATTGTATTCCTGTATGCTGATATGAATGTGCTTCATTTCATTATGTGTGCAAAATGTGTTTATATTAGGACTGTGAAATGGCCAAATAATTAAAATAATTCATCATGATTATATTACTATTTTGTGTAGTTAATTCCTATAATTCACATTTGTCTTACTTCATTATATTTCATTTAAACATTAACATTTATTTTGTTGTAACTATATAAACTGACAAAATAAGCTTCATCACAATGTAGTTATTGCTGTGACTAATACCAATATTTTCATCAGTGGATGGAGGGTTCATATGAACCTAAACATAAAATCCATTTGATTTCCGCACAGTGAACGCATTTTCCCAAGTTTATCACCAGCGCCCAGTGAGAACAACAGCGGCTGCATGTTCCAAAGAGTATATATCATATTAATGGTCAAGGGTTACAATCCATCAAAGATTGCAGCCTCTTGTTCTCACTTCTAATTCATATAGCTCATGGATTTTGTTACAGCGGAGGTTCTCGAGAGAAACTGTAGCTTTCTGCGTTGCTACTGCTTCTGTTAGTTTGCTGTTTGTTGATTTATTCACAGGTCTCGCCAACTTCAGCCTCCACTACTACAGATGGTTGAAAAGATCAAACTAGGAAAATGTGTTAAAATATACGCGTCACTAATTATTTATCGCGTTAACTAGTCATTAACACATTAACATTGGAAGCACATATATATGTAGCACTGATGTATGTACGTACAGTATGCAAAAGTTTGTGCACCCTTGACTAAATTACATATTTTATGGATTTGAAAAGACGTAATCACAATCAAAGATACAAACATCTAGGATCTCTCTGAGGGGGACAATGACAACATACTTTATTTGACCATCTACAAAATAAGTGTAATCTAGAAAATACTCATTTCTTTGGATATTTACAAGCAGAAGTTTCATCAAAACCAGAAGGGTTTTATGTTTAATATTCAGAGCTCCTCAATACAGAAACCATTTCAAAAGTATTTAAAAATTTTATTTTATTAAAACAATTTGCTGCAGAAGTTGTGTTGTGTCTTTTCACATCAAAACTCAAGAAATGATGTGATTTGGCCAGGGGTGCCAATGTGTGTGGTTGCCCTTCACCACATTCTCAGTTTCTGTCCAATGCTTTTACTTTCCAGACCAAAACAGATGGTTTTTATCCGGTCAAACACTTCTTTAGCACCCCTTTATCAGTCCTGTTGAGTGCATTCAGCTAGAAAGGCAAAAAGGAGGTGGAAGGGTTACAAGGCAGGGTGACTCAACTCTCTGCATGTAAATGTAGAGGCCAAGAGAAAGAACAGAATATTTGATATTAACAATAGTTTCTTCTAAATAAACGAATACGTTTCGCCAAACACACTTACTGACTTCAACTCATACTGAAATCTCTTACGCAGCAAAATTCCCAGGACACTGCATTTATAGAGGCTGGAAAGCTGACGTTGAGTCCCGAATGGATGTTTCAGCAAAGCCGTTCTTTTAGCATAAAAAGTGACCCAAAATAGCTTTTATTTAAAATGTCATCCAAGCAGCACAAAGTACACGACCTTCATTATCTAAACATTGAGCTTCCTCAAAGTTCAAAGTGAGTGTCCTAGACCCTTCTGCTTAGCAAAGCATTTCAGCTTATTAGCTTTCCTAAACATGAATATTTAAAGCTGATAACAAATAGCTAACCAACATTTGCTTTGGCCTTCTACAGAAGATTCTGGTTCCATAACACTGTATTAAAGAATCAGGCATTAGCAAAATATTACTACTTACAACATTTGTCCCTTGCTTTCACATCCTCCCTGTTGAACTGTTGCTTGCATCAGACATTAACCTATTATTTTATTTGTGTAATTATGTATTGTGCCTTGGCCTGCTAGTGTTATCCATAAAAGAGGCCCTGAACCTGAGTTCATTTCATCATCATCAGATGGCTGGTGAAACTTTGGAAAAATGCTAATCTCTCTAAGCTACAATATTGTGGTAACAAGGCAAGCTGATCAAGAACACTTAGGAGTCTTTAACAAGCTAACCTTGGATTCTTCACCCCAATACGATTTCACACCAGCACTGTAATTAAGAGATTCCATGATACCACGCGCCCCTCTCATTAATTCAAGTTGTATGAAAATGAGCACAGCTGCAATATGCTATAGATTATTGTGTGATCAGCAAACCGCCTCTTCCTTCCCAAGGGTGCATCCAGAACTGGTCATTAACACCAGCACCTGCCTTGACCCCCACGCGCACACTGCACGTGACTGAATTAAAGTGCTCTAAAGCAACTCATTCTTACCACGTAACTACACTATGGAATTCATTACATTGCATTAACCTCCGCACCTGCGCTAATTGAATTCGCAAGTCTTAATGATGAGCAGAAGTGGAAAAAGATCTGCAACGAACGACGTGCGCCAAGGTTGCCTGTGATTATAACAAATAATGCCCCTGAATGCTTCCGACTTTTTTCTTCTCCCCAATCTATTTCCTCATGAAAATGAATGGTTTAGTTTTGTTGAATAGAAACCTTAAGCACTGGTTGTTCTAGTCAGAACGTCTTAATTAGCTTTAGCATAAAGCTCAGTCCATCCTGAGCTATGAAGAACTATGGGTACTCACACTGCACAATGAGCTCCACGATGGCCTCACGAGGCTTCACGTTGAAGCCGTTGTACTGGCTGGTCTGGCAGCGGTAAGTGCCGGTCATCTCGCGTGAGACGTTGACGATGCGCAGGATGCCATCGTAGCTCTCCGTCTGCATGCTGCCGTCCGGCATGGGCGCCTCCTTGTCAGCGTGAGACCAGAGGATGATGGGCTTGGGTTTGCCTGACACTAGGCACTGAAGCTCCACTGTGTCACCCTCCTGTGTCACCAAAGGAGACTTCCCTCGGGGGACTGTCAGGCTGGGGGGGACTAAGTGAACATAGAGAGAAAACAGTGAAACATAACTATCTATATGGTTACATCTAACACTCTTTGTGTCTGATGGTTTTCTAAAAGACTTTAAACACTAATCACTGGCTAATCTCATGAATCTTTCTTCTGTTTGATCTGTGTGCATCAGTAAACCTATGTGTATTATTTGTATCTTTATATGTTTACATCCTACATTTTTCTTTTCTTTCACCCTTTCTTTTGAGGTCCCCTTTAAACATATGTGTATCTTTATATACCAAAACAATCAGAATTAATTTCTACATGAAAATCAGAATAAATTTACATCATTTCTTACTATTAAACAGGCTGTTTTTGTTACTGTGCCTTTATGCCAGATATACAATTATATGCAAATGTCTGAATATCTGCAAATTACATGCTTGTTAATTTTCTGAGTGTACATTTCCTGTACAGAGAACCATTAAAAACATGCCATTTTTCTGCAGTTTTAATGTATACGTTCTATATATGTGCTGAGTTTAACACATTAGACAAAATCAAGACATACATAATGTAAAATATGCCATAACCTCTGCACAGGCCACAATACATGTTTTATTTATTTATTTTTGCTGTATTGTGTCTCATTCAAATAGCTGTCTGTGCTGAAACACTCCCTATAACTTTGACACTAATGCAAGGGGCTAAACTAATGTAGGCTGAACAGACGCAAATATGTAAACGTGATGGTTTATGATGTCATGTTATGAAACTGTAACAATGTTGGAATATTACATTAAAATCTTTTATTTCAAAGAGGCAAGAAAAATAGGGTTTAAATAGGGTTTGATGTGCTCCCTTTAATACCACTACCCAGTGCAGCCCAAAAGAGGATGTTGTGAGTGACCACTCATGTTACCCCATGTACTAGGTATTGGTTGTTAAGGTGGTGGTGAAAGCAGAGACAACTGGGTCAGTGGCAGAAAATATGATGCAAGACAGTGATATTTTATAAGTAGAGAAATAAAATAAAAATCCCTCCAGCCACACAGCAAGCTGATGCTCTCCTCTTAATATTAAGGCAAAGGAGCCATGTGAAAACTTTCACCTCATTAACCTTAACAATGCTAGACCAACTAGCAAAATAAAATTGCAATCAAGAAGAGAATAAACAGAATCTTAAATAATTTTTCAAGATTCCACATATCAAAATGGATGTAAATATGAATATGTACATCAAACAGTCACTTCATTAAGTGCACCTGTATACTTCCTGTCCATTTTATCAGCTCCACTTACTATATAGATGCACTTTGTAGTTCTACAGTTACAGACTGTAGTCCATCTGTTTCTCTACATAGTTTGTTAGCCCCCTTTTACCCTGTTCTTCAATGATCAGGACACCCACAGGACCACCACAGAGCAGGTGCTATTTGGGTGGCAGATCACTCTCAGCACTGTAGTGACACTGACGTGGTGGTGGCGTGTTAGTGTGTGTTGTGCTGGAATGAGTGGATCAGACAGCAGTGCTGCGCCACTCTATTAGACACACCCACCTTGTTGGTCCACCTTGTAGATGTGAAGTCAGAGACAGTAGCTCATCTGTTTCTGCACAGTTTGTGTCGGTCATTCTCTAGTCCTTCATCAGTCTTCACAGAACACTGCTGGCTGGATATTTTTGACTGGTGGACTATTCTTAGTCCAGCAGTGACATTGAGGTGTTTAAAATAAACAGCAGCACTACTGTGTCTGGGGGCGGCACGGTGTCGCAGTGGGTAGCGCTGTCGCCTCAGAGTAAGAATGGCCTGGGTTCGATTCCCGGCCGGGCGACCAGGGTCATTTCTGTGTGGAGTTTGCATGTTCTCCCCGTGTCTGCGTGGGTTTCCTCCCACAGTCCAAAGACATGCAGTCAGGCCAACTGGACATGCTAAATTGCCCCTAGGTGTGAGTGTGTGTGTGAATGTGTATGTCTGTCTGTCTGCCCTGCGATGGACTGGCGACCTGTCCAGGGTGTATCCTGTCCTCCGCCCAGTGACAGCTGGGATAGGCTCCAGCACCCCACCGCGACCCAGAAGGATAAGCGGTTTAGATGATGGATGGATGGACTACTGTGTCTGATCCACTTGTACCAGTACAACACACACTAACACACCACCAGCACATCAGTGTCACTGCAGTGCTGAAAATGACCCACCACCCAAATAACACCTGCTCTATGGGGGTCCTGAGCATTAAAAAACAGGGTGAAAGGGAGCAAACAAAGTATGCAAAGTCTGTAGCTGTAGAACTATAAAGTGAACCTACAGGGTAAGTGGAGCTGATAAGCTGATAAAATGGACAAAGAGAGTACATGTGTAGTGTTTTTTCTGTGTGTGTATATATACATATATATATATATACATACATACACACACACATATACACTCATCGTGCATTTTATCACCCTATCAGCTCCACTATATATGTATGTATTTATCCATATAGGCCTACAAAAATATTTAAATATATATTTAACTACTCAAAAAATATGGTGATGCATGTTTGTTATGACAGTCATTACTGCTTCACACATTTTAAATACAACAGACAGCACGAGTGAAGCCCAGCCCAGGGAAGCATTTGCTGGCTCTAACGCTTCGTTTCTGCCATGGCGGTAGGGAAGTTCATCCATTCTATCATTTCAGCCCTTGTGTTTATCCGTAACATGGTGTTTATCGCAAAAACTCACATCACGATAACGATAAAAATATGATTTATTGTGCAGCCCTAATGTACACTGTAAAATAGGACGATCAAATATCTTCCCTGCAGCTTCAAACAATGCCTGAGGAACACCTGCTCCTCTAAATATAGCCCCTGGTGTGCTACAGAGCCCTCCTCCATTAAGCATGAGCCTTTAGTCTGCTTTAATGTTGAGCATCTGTACATGAAGTTAGCAGGCCTCCACGCAACATTTTCCTAACCTCATAGCGTCGACAAGCCCTTCTGCAAGAGTAATGCCCTGCCTAGATGTGCCAGTGCTGGAAGGTCTTTCACTGCTCTCCATGGAGCTTTCACCGCTGCATTTTATTAGTGGCGACTAAACTAGTGACCGCACTAGACGAGCAGTAAGGAACACTCATGCATGTGTAGTTAGGAACGAGGGAAGTGGGGGTGCTGAGGGGGCAGCAGCACTGCCTGATCTCAGGACTGCAAGTTCTAAAAGCAATAATAATAATACAGAGATCAGAACCTTTTAATAAACTGAGTGTTGCAAAGACTCATGTGCTTGTTTTAGATTTTTCTATTTTTTTTTTTTTAGATATTTTCAAAATCTGCAGTAGCCATGCAAAAATCTGCAGTAGCATTTAAATTAATGCTGTATTTTCATAACAGTGAGTCGAACAGCTTCCCTCAACAACAGCTGGCCGCTTTGGGGGCGTGTTGCTAAAACATATGCAGCTTGAAGTGCAAAGTGTAAAAGTGGATGCAGAACAAGATGCCAGTCCTGAACCCCAAATCAGCTTAATTCTGTTTTTAAACTTTTAAATTGTGCTTTCCAGTGTTAAATCTCACCATATGACTGTGGGCATGACACAATCACCGACCGCACCACATATCAACAATCTTACTGGTCGTGACTTTGTTAATTGGCATAAGGTTCATTCAGAATGAGAGAGCAAAGAGAAGATCAAGGGTGCAACAAGGGTCTGTTGTGTCAGTGGCGAGTGACATATTTTGAGGTAAAAAACATGTTTTTCTGCAATTTTAACTACAATAATCTATACATGACTATGGAATATATAAATTAAATGACATAAAAAAACAAATGGCAAATAAATATCATAAAATATTTAATGAAAGTTGTGGGTATGTCACTGGTGTTACCACGTAACAAAAAATGTCTTATTTTGAAATAAAAATCACACTGATGACATGACTTCCTTTTACCCATTTTCTGAAGATCTATGAAGAAAAGCACATGGTAAGTCCACTGTGTCTTCTAAGTTATCAGAAATTTTCTCATGTAGCTCATGATTTCATATGAAGCTTTTAGCTGAAGGTATGACCTACTTTATTCTTAGGTAACTGTGAAAAAGTAGAATACAAATGGATTAAATTACATATTTTAGTGGGTTATCCATGATTGACAACATGTGGTTTGATATTCTGTAGCAGCCATTTTGTAAACTGCATTTTTCATTAAAATTGTCACTGGTGTTACTGTAACCTTTCTTATGTGTACACCAGTGACACCTACGGATAGACAGAAAAGTGGACATTTCTGTAGAAATCCCCATATATATATATATATATATATATATATATATATATATATATATATATATATAATTAGTGACCTCTTGCTTCATTTTAGTGGTATATATATTCTGTTTGAAGTATGAAAAAATTCTAATGGAAAAAAAGGAAAATACTTTTGCATGATGTCATTGTTCATGTCATGTAAATGTTGTTTAAAATTTCACACCCCCAACTTAAAACACCTTGCCATGATCCTGCGTACAAGAGCAGGAGCTGAATGAGGAAAGTGGTGGGAGGCAGAGAGTGGGGAGGGCATTTTTTTCAGCACTGATAAAGTTCACAACTGAGAGGAGGGAAGAGGGCGAGAGGGGAGATGGACAGGAATGAGCAAGTGGGAGGTTGAGAGATGGATAAAGAGAAAAGAAAAGAGGCACAGAAGACGAGCGGGGGCATCAGCAGAATGTATTTTAACTGCAGGGGGCCGTGTGCTTGTGTGAATCTGCACGTTGATAAAATGCACCTGCTGTAGTGGCACAAAACACAGACAGTCACGATGGGAATCCCACAATATTTTGCATCAGTAGCTTACCTATTTTAGAGAGGTTGAGAAGAATATTCCGCTAGCTGTGTTTTATGTGGAGAAAAGCCTTTAAGGGGAATTCCACCATATTTGCAAAGATTTTTGCATAATTAAATGATTAAGATGTTAACAAAGTTATTCAGAGTAGTTTCATGTGAAATGCACCATTCTAGATAAACATACCGAGAATTGTTCACAGTGGTGGTGATAGGAACCAGATGGCTGACGAGTTCAATGCCTATAAGAGCTACCACACAGAAATCCTTTACAAGTAATGGTTTTGAACATGCTGCCTGATGCCTGAAACAATTTTTAGAACACATTTTTTAAATACATGAATGGCATACGAGTGTCATAAAATGTAGGGTTTTTTTGGATTTAACATTCTTTTACCATTAGCAAAATTACATAAAAGACTCAGAAGACACATGCATGTTGACAGGTCATTTTGGATAGGAAAATATTCAGCTGAAAATTGTCAAAAAAGGCATTTCTGTTTTTTGTCCAAATGAGAAAAAAGGCTGACATTATTGACAAACTGGTTTATCAAGTGTGAAGTGAGAAAAAAATAGTGATTAAAAATGCTGTTTTTTTCTGTGGCTGTCCTGTGCACAGACTGCAGTTTGCAGTTTGAGCAGCAGCGAATGAACAATGAAAATGTCAGCCATGTGAAATTATTTCATGATTTTTACGAGGGACATTAGACAAGTGACTGTTCACGTCATACATTAAGAGGGGATGCAACATCCAAGGACTTCTCCACTACAGGACTGATGCCTTTGAAAACATGACACGGCTTGATATAATAAAACAAAACAACAGAAGCAGATAAGTCCCTGCTAGCACGCAAATGCCATCTGTAGCCTCAGTTTCTGACATACACACACGGGTTCCCATCCACAACACTGAAAAAATCAGCACATTGGGAAGTTTCTCTACAATGAACCGTTTAACATTAAAACTATCTAAATGACATCACACTAATTAAATTATGCAGAGGTTTAAAAAAATAATAGAGGAATTGGCCTTTTGTTGAACTTGACCAGTTTGCCATCAGATGTCTAGCATATTCTAGTTCCTAAATGCTCTCTAAACGATCAGTTTCTATATGCTCTCTTTAACAACTATGTGCAGTTATGGCATTGGAAAGTACACTGACACAATGAAACAAATACTGGAAAAAATGATAATGAATCTCATAATCATAACTTCCTTTTGCTCAGAAATAAATATTGGCAAAGTTCTACTGTACAACTGCAATATTCCACAAACCATTAGCTCCCACATCCATTGCAATTATTTCTCATTTACAGAGTGATGCATGGATGATTGCAAATTAATAACAATTCAGTATTAATAAACCCATATTAAGGGGTATCTGCCTAGCTGACTGAATTGCTACATTCTCAGTCTCCTGAAGACTAGAAAAGAACACAGAACTCAGAGCAACATATTAGATTTTTTAAACATATTTGGAAAACATGGTAGCAGCGCTACAGACAGTTTGGAACAAGGCATCCCATTTGCAGGTCTCAGTCTGCTCTCTGCCTCCAAATAGTCAAAATAGTCTGTCTTAATTTATCAAGGGTGAACAGGGATGCTGATAGGTAACTGACCTTAAGATAAATCTCACTTGGTTAATAAAGTAGTGGCAGTTACTACCCAGAACCTTCCCAAATGTAAAGGAATGCTTTAGTGAAAAATCAATTTTGGTCTACATAATCTCCCTGTTACCCCTAAATGTAGTTCTTCAGCCAGTACAAGTTTAGTGTCTGAAGTTTCTTTATTTTTGCCCTGGGTCTACAAAGCAGGTGATGGAAAATTGGTAGTAGCAGCAGCCGTCTTGAAATCTAATATTTCACACTTCGGCCAATTTTAATATCTGGTGGGGTATAAGCTGCCATTACTTCTAGCCCCATTTGCCTCACAGCTCCCGTATGAAGCTAAAGAAATAATCTTTGGAAACCAAATTTGGCTAACTGGCTACATTTGGAAAAAAAGAAATTAAATTAGGGCTGCAACAAGTGACATAACTGAAAACATTGTTAATAAAAAAAAGTTGGCAACAAATCTCGTCATCGATTAGTTGGCTTGATGACATTGGCAATTCCCATTTACATCACTTGACAAAGAGAAGAGGAGAGCAAATACAGATGGAAGAAACCACAGTACAGGGTTGCATGACTCAAAAAGTCAAAAATATGGGAACACTAATTCATGGTCATCCAAAAAGGTGTTTTTCTGTTAGATGTATTTAACCAAGCTCACCTGGTGTGACAATACAACTCAGCATCGTGAGTAACTGCTGAAACCTGTTTTCTGCTTTTCAGCTAGCTCTGTTTTAGTTTAGCAAATAGAAGAAAACACTGTTGGCTGTTGAAGGGATGAGCTGCATTTTCAACTAAACTGCATGGCTAAACTGTACTCCTCAGTCGCTTGTGGGCTGCTTGTGCACTAATGCACACAGACTTGCCCATCCACACATATACAGATATCTTTTGAAAATTCAGCATGTTGACCTTCTGTCCATGTACATTTCGTTCTTGTGTTCTTCCTTTATTACTTCTGCATCTTTCACACTGAGCAAAATAGGACTATTTTAAGAGGAGAGCTAATCCTCTGCTCTTGATAAAAGTTGTGTTTTGTTTTCCTTGTTGTATATATGATTTTGAGGATAGGCAAGGTGCTTTATGTTTGAAAGAGCGTTGGGCAAAAAGGAAATGATCCTTACATTTTAAGTTTGTTGAATAAAACAGTATGTATACGTGAAATATTTAATTATCGAAAGACTAATAATGGCACTTCTTCTTTGCACAACTAATCAAACGCATAATGGAGTGACTGATCGAATATGGAAATAGTCATTGGTTGTAGCCCTAATTCAAATGTGGTTTTCGGCTAAAATGTTCCTCTAAAGAAAACCCTGATTATGACTATCCTCAACATGATGTACTTGCACAATACTATTAAAGAATGCTGTACAAACTAAGCAAAATACTTTGGTTGTTACTAGCTTATTATTTTTGTTGCCACATGAAATGGCTGCTCTCTCTCTTGTCGAGGAACTTCTCTAAGACTGCAATTTTATTAGCAGCCATGGTTACATTAACCTGTTAAACAACTTTTATTTTTGTGGTCACAGCCACCTCAGACATTTTGACTCACCAGTAGTGGATGAGATGTTAACATCTATGCTGATCTCGGGTATGCCCCCATTCCTCAACGATGCCACACAGGTGTAGGTACCGAAATCAGTGAACTTGAGGTCAATTATGTCCAGGTTGGTGGTTCCCAGGGCAACGTCAGGGTCTGTCTGGGTGATGACCATGCGCTCGGAGCTGCGCAGCGGCCGGCCGTTCTTCAGCCAGCTGAACATCAGCTCCTCGGCTGGCGTGGCCTCCACCTGGCAGGAGATCTTTACTTCCCGGCCAATCTGGATATTGTCATCATTGTGATAAGGGTCTGGAGTGATCCAGAAGCGGCCTTTCCTCAGAGCTGGATGAAATGAGATGGAAAATAAAGGAAAGCGTCGGTAAGATCATCAGATCATGCAAAGGCTTCTGAGTAAGCAGCTGTTTTGAGCGTAGTTTCTCAGGTTCTCACCCTAAACAAGGAAACCAGCCTGAGGATGTTTGCTGAGTGAACTGATTCAGGTGGAGCTTGATGGGCAACAAATGTGACAGCAAGAAAGGCCCTTCATCATGTTACTAAACAGAACTCTCTACTATTGGTTTTTATATGTGTATATATATCGATCTTACATTTTTTAATGGTTTACAGTATGACTTTGTCTGTTTTCCTTTCAAAGGACAGAAAGAACATCTTTTTAATCAATAACTATTGATGATTACAAAGGTCATGTGCAAATATTTGGACGATGATGCTGATCAGCAAGATAGTACCGATGGCTGCTCACTACTTTTCTTTAAACGGCTCCAAGCAGGACATTCTGAATCCAGGCCAAGAGAAAGCTTAGCCAGGCCCTGTTCTATGCTAAGTACTCCTCATATCTTTAAGCGGACAGTAATTACAGCTTTAACTGAAAAAGGACCATCACAAATTGAACTATTAGTAATGCTATGCATTTATCATTTGTATTTGAATAGGGGTTGTGGGGTCTTCATAAAGTTGCTGATAAATTTAACAGAAAATTACACCAACACTACACTAAATATATCAAATCTATCAGTATCTACTCCACTCTTTACTTTGTGCACCTTACTGACACTACTTTAACTTTTTCATCCATCCAATCTTAAAACCAACAAGTTAAAGCTGTGTCCTCCCAGCATAAGCTGTTCCCAAATGAGTCACTGACATTATGTTCCCCTTTAAAGAGACTCTTACATTAACACAGGTAACTCAAACTCACCTCAGCTGCCTTGCAAGTTTCTTTCCCTAAAATAGCTAAATGCTTCTGATGGGATTAGATGTAAACTAATACACATACATAAAAAGGGCAACAGTAAAGGAAAATAAGAGGAAAAAAAAGGAGTTTTGAAATCAGTTAAAAATATATTAAAAGATACACACAGGACTTTCAAAATCAAAGCTGGTAGACCATCAAAACTGTCACCATCAGATAAACAGTACTGATCAGTCTAAATTTATATTTTGGATTACTTGGATCATTAGAAGTAGAAACTGTATCCAACTTCTGAATTGTGGAGGTGTGGAAAAATATCCCTGCAGATTTGTTTAAAAAACTGAAAGGAGTCTCCCCAAATGAATGTAATATGTAATAAATGCAAAGTGTGGACACATTTAATACTGACAAAATTCATATTACATTCAGTTGTTAAGACCTCTGTGTAGTTTTTTGTTAACATATGTTCTCTGCTTTTTCCTGGTGCTGAAAATGTACTTAATGGTCATTCGGACTAATAATTAAACCAGTGAATAGCTGGTCTCTAACTTTTGCACAGTTCTGTAAATAACGTAAAACACATCTATGATCTAAAACATTTTATCATACCATTAGACAACCTGTTTTATTAAAAATACATCCTAAATAATACTGGGCTTGCAGAGCTGATTAAGTCTGCCATTTTGCTCTGCCACTGCAAATTCCGCTAACGTCCCTGAATCTTAAAATAGACTGTTCCAGTGTCTCCACAAATAAAGTGAGAAAATAAACTGAGAAGCCCTCAGGACAGGGACTTTGAGAATACAACTGCATTATTCCATAGCCATGATGGCAAAGAGTCACGCATATGCTGCGTTCGGAGAAAACTCATCACCCAGAATTCAACTCTGGTGACGTCTGTACAGAGGAACAATGACTCATGTTCATTCGCACCTATGGTGTTACCAGTCATGCAAGAACAAAGTGCTATGGCATGGAATTTTTCCCTCATACTACTACGCTTGCTAGGACATTCTTTGTGGCTTATGTCTTACTTTAAGACCCTTCTGCTTATTTTAAGACCCTTTTGCTTTTTCATCTTTTGAGCACCCACCAATCTCTCTTTCACAATAGGATTTAACACCTCCCACCCTAATTCTCCTACTACCCCCCCCCTCCCCAATCAAGGAACATCCCTCAGGCTAGTCAACTAACAATATAACTCCTAAGCACCGTAAAAGCAACTAGTGCCTGTGTTCATCTTGCTTTGCAATCTATGCAGTTCTTCCTGACCACTTCAGCTACTCAGTTACAGTCCCTGTTCCAAAAAGGTCCAAACAGCTTGCCTAAATGATACTGTCCATGTCATTTTGACCTGAAAAATGTACACTCTGTTTGTGGAGGCACTGTGAATTACTACTAAGAAACTGTCATGAACACAGAATGTTTCATCTAAAAACGGAGCTACAATTTTCTGACACTCAGGATACTTTATGTACGGCCAGGACTCTCACTGTCAGCCTGTCTGACTATTAGCACAGGTGCAGCACAAGGCTGAATGCTTTCTGTCCTACTTACCTGCCTGCACACCCAAGACTGCACTAGCAGTGATCCAGTCAAAATACTCTAGTTTGCCATAGTCATAGTAATAGTCATAATCATCAGAGGGCAAACCCTCTAAGCCTTTAGAGAAGACCTATTGATTTCTGGGAATTAAATCATACATGTCTGTAACTTTTAGTTAATTTTTATTTAATACAGTAATCACATTTTGAACGAATTGCATATGAACTGCAGTCATACTCTTGTTCATTCTTAAGTTTTGGTTGGAAAAAAAGGGTTAATTCTTGGAACCAACGAAATATTGTCCATTCAGAATTGTACCTCTTCTGTCTTACCAAATGACAGCGGAATCAATCTCCTTTTGATTTTCAATGAATGGGACCAAGTCTGTGAGGAATAATGTCACTCTATAGTTTCTAAAAGTCCTAGATAAGTCACTGACTGCAAAGATGAGTGGCAGCCTGACCAGTGGTTTGTTAGAAATGGAAAACAGAGAGTTCTGTACAAGTGCATGGTAGAGAAAAACATCATCAAGGTCATCAGTGACCCCGTCTACTCAAGACACCATTTGTTCCAAAAATTCTCTCTGAGAACCACTTGAAATCAATCAATAGCAGTACCAGCGGTCAGCCAAATAGCCTTTTTCTCAGTGCCTTGACTCAAACAAGCGACCTAGATTGACCAGTTCACCATCACACTCAGTGTTAACCCTGTTAACATCTCATACCACAATTTATGTCTCATTACCCCCCTCACTCAAAAACTGGTCACAAAAGACATCCAGTATTTACATAACATCTGCTGTAGTATTTGTGGTATTCACTTGAACAAATTTTAAAATTAGGGTTCAAATAATATGAAAGTTTCATGATCAGTACAGAAATAAATTTACATGAGCTAAAAAACCAATAACAAATCATGTATACAGATCCATTACACAGAACACATTTTAAGGCACAATTACAGTTTACATGTTGTGTAATTTAACATAAAATATGGCCTATGCAAAAGTTAAAGCACATTTCACATTTTATGTTTTTTCCGCAATATGTAATTTGCTAACACATAGGAAGCGCACACTTAAATGTGCCGAAAAATGCCATATTTAGGTTTGTTCCCTGTAGAGAATGTGTTTGCCTGCATATGCCTATATATTGGTCAGGTCCTATTTCATACTTAACTGTACTGGCATTTACTTTAAATGACAGCTGTAAAAGTGTCAGTTACCCATTTTGGGGGCAATCTATCAAGGCTAACAGGTTCCATGCCAGGACATCACATGTGAACCCTAACTGTTGCTTTCTTTGATGAGCAGCCCTAAGATCTGTTTCACGTGCAATGGCAAAATGAATGTTATCATGACAGATCGAAAATAATAAACAGCTGTGACTTTGCTGGGCTGTTGCTTGTGCGGTTCAGCTTGACGAGGCTTTTGCGCCAGCAAATTTGCGAGTTAATCAATGCTGTAATTGAGCTGGGATAGTGGCACTCTCTTTGGATAACCACATAAAACTTGAGAGATGTTAGGCTGTAGAGCTCAATCCTTTCGCACAAGTTTCTGTCATTACCAAGAGGTATTACAGACAAGCAATTTCGAAGTGACAAGCTGTGTAATCTCTGCTGAAAAACGTTCTGAGTCAGGTTGCTATGCGTGGGCCATTTGATGATGATTTCTTAATCTCCACGCTGCTGTTAAGTCTCTTTGAACTTCAGCGCCTAATGTGGAAGTCCAAACTTGTGCTTCAACTTTTAATGAGCTATAATGAAAAGAACACCTTCATGTGCCGTGACGGAGGGACCACTAGCTGGAATGTACTGTCATGTTAAAGATACTGAAATTGCTTTTTACGTTCATATTTTGTAAAAGCCGTTCCATAACTTTTACTTGACTTAACACATGGTGAGTTTTTTCAGCTTAGCATGAGACTCAGTGACAATATTATTTACTCTAATCCTAAGCTTAACCTGTGTCCAGCCAACTGTTTCATGAAAATCCATACATACAGATTACAAACGCTAGTACATTCAGTTTATAAATCTACATTACCACATAGTACCATCTGCAGAATCCTAAAAAATGTGCTTGAACTGTTACTTTTCAGGCAGATTTTAATCTCTAAAATTTCTGCTTTGGTATCAAATGGTATTAGTTTTTTCCTCGGCTCAGCAGCCGTCACTGCAAGTTTTTTCCTTGCAGCATTATATATGAATCCATAATCCTTTTGACGTCCCTTTTAACCACAATTTTATGACACATTTGGATAAGAAAAAAAAAACACACAGCAAACTGAGGAAAAAGCAATTTAAAAGCCTTGTGGTCGTGGATAGTGTGCTGTGCTAATGTATATTCCTTTAATTCTCTTTCTTACATAATGATAAGCATCATGATAGTGCCTTTGCAGTGTCTTCTACCCTGCTGTGAACAGAACTAACCACAGCAGCCAGTCTTCTCCAAAGCTATTGAGTTCACAATGTGTCTCTTTTACAGGATGACTAAACACCTCAAACTGCTTAACACTTTTGCAATGCTTTGAAATGACAGAAATCTTCCCGTCACATGTTGCAGCAATGGAATTCACAAAATGAG